ATGTATCAATGTCATTTTTCGTAATTTCAATTAGAGATTTCACGATGTCCCTTTTCTTTTTGTCTCTAGAAAGTTTTCTCCAAATCCTTTGGAAGTAGGACTTCCAGAAAACCGTGGTTTTTGGCGTATTGAAGTTGAATGGAATGACCTTTAAAAATCACCGTTAAGAGATAGAACATTTTGAAGATGATATTTAGATTCAGTATTGATAGATGAATATTTTGAAAAAAAATCATGTTTCCAAGTCAAACTTTCGATTTTTGACTTTAATTTAAAATTTAATAAATTCAACTTTTTCTAAAATTGAAATAACTCAGCTCAGAAAAGAGATGGAAACTTGGTTCAAACGCCATTTGATAGAGCATTAAAACACAAACAAACTTAGAGTTTTGAGAATAGTCCCGTATTATGTGATCTAGGTTACTATGAGTTTTTTCTACATTAGAGGAGAAAAAAATCGCAATTCTGCTCGTATTTCTCAATTTTCCCCAACAGAACTCAACGTTTATGCAATAAAAATATCCTATTCGGAATGAGAATCAAAAATCGAATCGACTGATGTGTACTTCGAGATTTCTACTTGATATTCAGTTTTTTGGTGAGAACCTCGATGACTTTTAACGTGAAAATTCGAAAAAAATTAAGGTACTCAGATAGAATAGACATATATATCAGTCAATTCGATTTTTGATTCTGATTCCGAATAGGATATTTTTATTGCATAAACGTTGAGTTCTCTCGGAGAAAATCGAGAAATGCTGCTAGGCTGTTTGTGAAGCGTTTCTTATTCAATTTTCCTTAGTTGTATCTATATATTTCCTGACCTCCACTCATCTAACCAAGCGAAAATATTTTTAAAACCTATAAAATTTTTCTGACAGCGGTAAGCATGAGACAACACCAGCTGATCCTTCTTTCGATTGAAGAAGCGAAATTTTTTCGATATTTATAGTATATAATATCTGAAGAAAACATCCACAACTTAAAAAGCGAAAAAGTAACTAACACATCGGAATAAACACATCAGTAAAACAAACGTAAACTTTTATTCAGTTTCATTGCCTCTACCAGTGCTTCATCTCCTCGAGCAGATATTTGGTTGGACCGAAGATTAAGAGTGGTGAGAGTTTTATTCACTTTCAATGCCTCTGCCAGTGCTTCACCTCCTCCATCAGATATTTGGTTGGACCGAAGATTAAGAGTGGTGAGAGTTTTATTCACTTTCAATGCCTCTGCCAGTGCTTCACCTCCTCGAGCAGATATTTGGTTCCCTCCAAGATCAAGAGTGGTGAGAGTTTTATTCACTTTCAATGCCTTTGCCAATACTTGCGCGTCTTCTTCGTCAATTCCGAGATTCCGCAGCTTTACTTCCGAAATCGAATGAAGTGCTTGCAGTTCTGGTTCTAGTCGTTTATTTTTGCACTGTAGTTTGTCGAATGGGGATTCACAAAGCACATATGGTGGAGTTGTTTCTTCAACATGAATAATGTTGAAGTTCGAGCCACCATCTACTTTACCTTTCACTTCGAAGTATGTCCCTGGCATCAGAAGAATTTCCTGCTCGTTTTTAAAGTGCGAATGTGAATGAATCTTCTTTCCATTGTGGCATTGAATACTGAAGAGTGTTCTTGTACCGGTTTTGCCAAGAAATTGCTCTTTGTTCAGACCATCTAGGGATTCTGTGCATGAACTAACACCCCACCACACAAACGTGTGACCTGTATCGAACTTCATGCTGAAATCTGCTTTGATTCCTCGCCATACCACTTGCTCAATAGATGGTACATTGTGAAGAGCTGTCAGAAATAGTTTCAGGTATGGAAACCATGGAATCAAACTGTCACGATCCTCATTCCTTAGTGTCCGATTGAGAATGGAATAGAGACTGTTACTGCTTGGTTTCCACTCCATGGTGTATAAATGGATAGATGCTGATTGATCAACTGTTAGAGAATCCGGCGCTGATTTACAATTATGTTTTGCAATCCACACATTTCGTTCTAAATTATCAACTATTGGATGAAGTGATCGAACGGCATCTTCGAGTGACATCAATTTCATATGTTGATAGCCTTCAATGGGTAATAAGAGCGTGTGCGGTTCTTCGTCGAGATCAGTGAATCTTGAATTAGAAATGGATTTGTTTGCCATTACGATAAAAAGTTTCTGATTTAGGAATGTTCACTTTTTGGCGAAATATGGCTGCTCAGGAGAGAGAAGAGTTTGAGAATTCTTTGTTTTGTTCTGCTTTCGTTTCTCTTCACTTGCATTGTCTTCACTTGTGTCAATATTAGAGTATTCGAACTATCATACACATATGTCTGAAATCTGTATACCTCTAGTTGCTTGAGATTTTCTTTATCTACACGAGGCGACGAAAGTCATGTTCTCGCATTTTGTTCTTCTACTGAAGAAATGTGGAAAGAAAAAAAGAAAATGAGAAAGTAGAGTCTGCTATGAAACAGAGACTGTTACTGCTAGGAATGGTGGCCTGTACTTTTTTACTTTTTCATAGACACTACACCTGCCCCAAAGAGAAGAGAGAAAGTCCGAAAATAAAAGGAAAAATGAATCATGGTCGATGTTATATACCATGGAATACCAGTATTCAAAAACACATTGTAGGAAAAAATTGAAAATTTTCCAATTTGATTTACGAAAATGTAAATTTTCATTTATAGAAAATGGAGAAGAAAAAATAACAGGGTAGTGGTCGGACGTCCCTTCCGTTAAAACTTCTGTATTCCAACCTGTTTTATCTTGTGTAATCGCAAAATCTATTACCGATTCTGATCTTTTCGAGGTTGGCTTTAATGGATGCAGTATTTCACATCCGCTATTTTCCATCCATTCTTTTAATTGATTACCGCTAGTATTATTTTTAACGCACGCCCATTGAACATGTTTCGCATTGAAGTCTCCAAAAATTATGAAATTTGTACCCAAATATTTTTCAAAAATTTCGAAAGGTGGTTTATGTTTAGGTGGAACATAGACTCCTCCAACTAGAATTTTTTCATTTATGGATTCAATTTCCATCATTAAAAAATTTTTACCCTTCTCCACTACTTTGCTCCTTATAGTTTGGTGTAACAGGATTGCCACTCCTCCAAAGCTGTTATCTCCTTCTACACTTTCCCAATAGTAAAAGGGAACTAAAGGAAGTTTACGAATCAGCTTACCGACTCCCGTTAGAACAACTATGTGTGGAGTATGAGAAGAAAGAAGGATGTCTAAGTCGCAAGTATGAGTACTTAACGCTTCACAATTGTAAAGAAGAAAAAGAAGATATCATTCACATTTACAGGCCTTTCTTTCCTCCATTTAGTACATAAATCGCTCACAGAAAGCCGAGAGTTCCACTCGTTAAAAATAGAAAGAATTGAGTCTCTCTCACCGCTCGTGCCATCAAATGATTCCAACACATTCATATTTATAGTTGGCGTTGAATACTTAAAGTCATTACTAAACATTTGGTTGGTGAATTATTGTGTTCAAAGCCACATCTAATGCCTCTTTTTGTTTGGTTAATAATTGTTCTAATTTTGTTTGATGAGAGAAATAGGCCGATTTTTGTTCGTTTAATAATAAGATTTGTAGTTGAATTTGATTGATGAAGGCGTCACATTCATTCTTATTAGTTTCTGTCTTGATTTTATCTAAAACTGTTCTTAATGTCTCCATAGCGATTGAGCAAGTGGAAAACAGCGTCGTATTTATTACACCGTTCATTGTTGTAACCATCTGAGTTTGAGCCTGGACTTGTTGTTGCATAATAAGCCAGCTTTGATTTAATAAATTTAAATGATTTTTATACTTTTCTTCTATTTTTCTCTGCTCATCTACATAATCCCATTTTAATTTTTGTAATTCATCGCTTAATGTTTTAATTGTTCCATTTATATTAGTATTTATTTGCATCGTTGTAGTTGTATTAGTCAGTGAAGGAGATATAGACGGCCAAGCATTGAGGTCGTTATAATTGAAATTTCGTTGAAGGTGTTGCCGCTGTTTTTTTAACTGCTGTTGGAATTTTGCTGATTTATTTTCCAAAACTTTTGTGTTTTCTCCGTTTTCACGACATTCAGAAGGGATGAATAGTTGCGCTTCTGGTGGAAGGAGATCCGGGCGCTTACGAAGTTCGAAGACAAGTTGACGACGATATTCTTGTATAATCGGACAACTATAATCAGTAGATGTATGGTTTCCATCGCAATGGTGACATTTAACATCGCAAGTTTTATGGTCTTTTTCATCATTCCGGTCCCCACCACATCGTCTACAGATTTCAAAAGGAGAATTGACACATACTTTTTTAATGTGGCCTGGCTTATTACATTTTGAACAAAACAATAATTTCGGAGCTGGTAAGTACTCGTCAATATCGTATAATTGACCAAATAATGATATTTTTCCACTATTTAGAACATCAATGTATTCTCTTTCATCGGAGAAATCAATACGGATATGACGATTTCGATTATTTTTTGTACCAATGATATCCTCAACTGAGTATATGGACTTAAATTTATTTTCTAATTCTTCTTTTACTTCATTCAACGAGACGGAATTTTTTACCCACTTTAATAACGTTGATCTTTGCAGTGGCAGATGTCTCGGTGGGTGAGGAGTGAGTTTTATTTTATCAACTTCATTTGGATAACGCTTTAAATCACACAGATATACATACAGATCAATTTGTTTCGTTACGCCATTTAAATTTCCATCTTTATCTATCCACCACGCATCCATCAATCTATCCATCTTTATCCCATTGGCTTTAGAAATGTTGGGTTTTGTTGCTGAAATTCTGTAGATATTTGTCGAAAAAATTGTTGAATAAACTTAGCTGCTTGCTTCTGATCCGTTAATTTTGGGTTGCATTCAATTTTAATAGGCTGTAAATGATTTTCTGCTGCATATTTTAAAGCTTGTGATGAGATTGTTATCGTTTGATTATTATTATTATTATTAGCATTATTGTTATTATTTGATTTTTGTTGTTGACGATGGAGATTTTGTTGTTGGGAGCGATTATTGTTACTATTCATATTCATATTTGAATTTGTAATTGTTCTCACTATAATTCTTTCATCTATTTCATTTCTATTTACAAATTTTTTTCTTGGTCTACCATAATTAACTTGTTGAAAATCGTTATTAACTTCATCATTATCGTAATCGTTTAAATCTTCATCCATATCTAAGTTTAAATGGCTATGGTTTGTATTGTGTCTCTTTAATGTTGCATTTCTTCCATTTTCTCTTGCATAAAATTCTTGAAGTTTTTGTTGAGTTTCAATTCCTTCACATAATCTATCTTTTTGTGCCGTAGTCATACTATTATAATGTTCGTAAGACATATTAAATAATTTATTTTTCAATAACTGAGTTTATATTAAAATACCCAGAAAAATTAGATTAAATCACGTTTAAAAAAAATTAATCACGTTGAACGTACACGTGTACGTATACCTACAGTATACGTACGATACAGAAGAAGAGGAACGAAGAGAACACGTCTGATCTGTATAGTGTAAAAAAAGTCTTCGGTCCAACAGTATATCCCCTCGCGGAGGTGAGCACTGGCACCGGCAATCAAAGTGAATTAGACTCTCACCGCTCTTGAATTTAGCGTGCAGCAAATTTCTGCTCAAGCAGGTGAAACCCCTCCAAAGCCATTGAAAGCGAATAAAACTGTCACCAGCCCTTAACCTTACCCATATCAAAATTTTTGCTAGAGGAGGTGAAACACTAGCAGAGGCAATGAAATTAAAACAAGGCTCTCACCGCCTTTGAACCTAGAGCGCACCAGAAATCTGCTCGAGGAGGTGAAGCAGTGGCAAAGGCATTGAAAGTGAACAAAACTCTTACCACTCTTCACATTCAATGAATCAAAATATCCGATCGTGCAGCTCAACCACTGGCATAGAAAGTGAACAAAACTCTCATCACTCTTGATCTTTGGTCCAAGCAAATATCTGCTCGAGGAGGTGAAGCACCGGAAGAGGCATTGAGAGTCAGTAAAACTCTCACCACTCTTAATCTTACCGATAAGCAAAAATATGCCCGAGGAGGTGAAGCACCAGCGCCGGCAATTAAAATGAATTAGAGTCTCACCGCTCTTGATCTTAGGACGAAATAAAAGTGAATTAGAACCAGTGGCACAGCCATTGAAAGCGAATAAAACTGTCACCGCCGTTAACCTTACCCATACCAAAATTTCTGCTAGACGAGGCGAAGCACTAGCAGAGGCAATGAAATTGAACAAGGCTCTCACCGCCCTTGATCTTAGAGCGCACCAGAAATCTGCTCCAGGAGGTGAAGGAGTGGCAGAGGCATTGAAAGTGAACAAAACTCTTACCAGTCTTAACATTCAATGGATCAAAATAGCCGATCGTGCAGCTCAACCACTGGCATTGAAAGTGAACAAAACTGTCACCACCACGCCAAAAACCACGGTTTTCTGGAAGTCCTACTTCCAAAGGATTTGGAGAAAACTTTCTAGAGACAAAAAGAAAAGGGACATCGTGAAATCTCTAATTGAAATTACGAAAAATGACATTGATACAT